TTTTTTATAAAATTGAATTCTAATAATTTGTCGCGAACAATTTATGTCGATGCAACGTCAATTTATTACATCAAAATAATCGATGTATAAATTTAATTTCTTACATCAAAATAATCGATGTATAAATTTAATTTCTTACGGAATATTTTTGCACGAATCCTTTGAAGTCGAAAAAAAGAACATAGTTATTTTTCTATACTATTTTTCTTACACTTAATATCAAGCCATTGAATTAATCTCCACACCTATAAAATATAAATCATAAAATATTTAATTCACACAGACGAGAACAATGGTGTTTGCATGAATTGTACGTCATCGTCGTGCGATTCCTTTAATCGGGACAGATTTTTCGAGCAGAAATTAAAAATTTCCCGCTCTCTTTTTTTTCTCGTTAGATACATTTCCGCGGCAAGTTTTTCATGTTTGATTCTCGTTAAACAGACCGCGAGCGCGGCCTGCGGGACTGTTGTAAATTTTCGCCGGCCTTCTAATTCAGCCGACAAACATTCGAAGAACGGTCAGCAAACAACGAAAACCGATCAGGCTATGTATTGCTGTTGGATCCGCCATTTCGCGGAATCGATTCGTTCGATATTAGCCGCGCTTTGAAACCGCTCGGCGCGCCGGCTCTCGGCGTCGTCGTCGTCGCCGTCGTAACACATTTACATTCGCCGGCGGACGGTGAAGGGCCGCGATACGCGATATTCATATTTATTTATGAGGAATGTACACGGCCCTATTGATTTTTCGACGTTAACGCCGTCGGCTCGTTATTCGAACGGCCGCCGCCACCCTTTCACCGTTTCACCCTTTCATGCCGTTCCACCGGGCAACGAACAAAGCCGGCGCGCCCGGCAGAAGTCCAAAACGGCGATGATCGATTTCATACCGGCCGACACGATTCAAATACGTAATTAGCAGCCGCGGATTTCGCCCGGGCACTATTACAACGCGGAAAACCGCGTCGAAAATTTCGAGACCGACACGGCCGCACGGAAAAACCGAAGGGGCTTTTGCTTCGCGGTCTGATCCCGCGATCATGCGACTAACGAAGGGGATCGTGACATTTCGGTACCGCGATCGATACTGCGCGAACTGGGCTAGCGATTTGATTCGATTGAAAGACATTTTCATTTGTTCGTTCAACAAGGCGAACGCATCGTTGGACGCGAATCGTTTTGGAACAAATTTAATCGATACCGTAAATAGGTGTAATTCAGTAAATAATATAGTAATAATATAGTAATGTGTAATATAGGTCTAATTCAGTATAAATTGCGACAATTTTTGCACCCTCACTTGTGGCAATCATATTTTTTATATTATAAAAATTCTCATATTTTTTCGAAGAAACAGTTTCAATGAATATCTCTATTTTGATTGTTGCGAATGGATTCAACTGTTATGCACGTAAATAATGTATATGCACGACGCATCCACTTTGTG